TGGTTGCCTGGTGATGCTGCTTGATAACCACAACGAGGACGGAGACGTGGTCAACGACATTTGCAGCATTATCTGTGGCGTTGTCAGTTGTGGGAATATGGAGGTATGTCTTCAATATTTAGAATGACAGCTAAAATATTCAACTCCTGTGTACATTATCCTCATGCCTTCTAAGATCTTAACAGATTTTGCTCTTGGGGTAGTTGAGTAGGTGAATATGAGATTTAAATAGTTGGTTGTAGTATTTGGAATAGAAATGCCCCCCAAATTTTCTCTTTTCTTTTTCTTTTAGTGAGACTTCTCATTGGATGAAACCATAGCCATTTATCTGAATAGTTTGTAATTGTGAGCAGGATGTGATTGCGGCTGGATTTATGAATAAACTGGTCAATTTGATTCAAACTGATCGAGTAAAAGAAATCAATGATGCTGCTATCGAAACAATTAATATTGCTATTGCTAGTGGGAATGATGCTCAGATCAAGTATGTAATCTCTTTTTCGGGGTGATGATCTCTCTGACCTCCCTGATATTTTTACTAAATTTCTCTGTATCCTTGTGCTTTTGGCTTTAGGTACTTGGTGGATATCTCCTGCATAGAGGTTCTGTGTGATTTTATTGCTTCGTGCTCTAGTGAAACATTTATGAAGGATAGTTTTCAAAGTTTAGAGAAAATCTTGGAGTTTGGGGCTCCGTCTATTGACTATGCTCGCCGGATTGAAAAGAAGATTAAAAGCATTCACTCTAGCAGTTGGCCTAGGCAAGTACCGTTCTATTTTGGTGAGTTTTTGCCGAAATTGGACAAGTATCTGGGAAGGAGTAAGCGGATAGATCTCAAGGACATGTTGTGAATCTTATTTACATTCTGTTATCCAAGTAAATTTAAGTACCCTGTAGAATTATAGATTTAAAGTACCCTGAAATTCTACGCACAATTCAGTGTGTAATTCAGTTAACTATCTAAGTTTGTTGTTAAGAATATGACAAATCCAGTCCAAGAATGTAATATATTTGCAGCATTGTCATTAATGTCCCCACACCACTCACTATTGCTCCAGCAAAAATGGTACATAGTGAAAAGAGTGATTTATGCGAGGTGTTTGAATTCTTTGCAGACTTCCAGACTAAACATTCGGATCTAGGCTAAAAAAATGCTTCTGTTTTTTTCTTTTTTGATAGGTAAAGGTAATTTTATTAATATCCCGAAATAAGTGTATGTTGTTACATCAAGAGAATAGCTACAGTAATCACATATTGTGTAATACAACAACTATGCCTGTTTAACCAAAAATCTGAGTCTTTGGTCAAAGCTAGAAAGAAATTTGGGTTACTGATAATCAGGAGACGAAAATAAAATGTTGACAATCTGTATCTTTGGGTTCAAATGTTGGAGAAGCAGCAATTGGAACCTGTGATGATTGAGCACCATGTGCATCTTCATACTGAATCTTGTCTGGCAGATTAAGCATTCCAATCTCTTCTCCAGATTCAGTGATGCTTGTAAACTGAATGATGGAAATAACAGTTAGTTCAAGTATATAAAAAAATGTAGATTAATTGTAGTTATTATGAAGGTAAATGTAGCATCATACAAAAGTGAAAAAATATACCTTGAGCCACTCAGGCTTGATCATCTTCTCTTCAATTGCAGTTAACCAAATCTGGCCCTTTGTAGATGACCATCTTAAAATGCGAGGTATAGATTCAGAACACCTCGCAGCAAGCTCCGTACTGACGGACGAGCAATACTTATATAGCCACACTTGCAAGGCTAATGAGCATCCCCGTATCAGATAAGAATGTACATGGGGATTAAGACGATGTCGGACAGATTCAATAACCTGCTTAAAGGATTTGATACCCCATGGGTATGACTCAAAATTACCAGACTCTATCAGAAATAACATAAACTTGTCTATGAAAGACACATGGTCTTTATCAGAAGGACAAACAAAAAATTCCAATAGATAAAGAATGCACAACCTCATTGTATCCTCATCGTTTGCCCAAGCTTTATTTGTGACTACATTTTTCAAATGCCACTTTTCAACCCTTTGTTTGTTCGAAAAATAGGTAGTCATTAAATGGCTAACATAAGTGGAAGTGTAACCATACTCTGAAAACTTATTCACACAATTTAAACCAGTAATCAACCCAAATTCTCTCAAGGAAAAATTCAACTTTTCACCCTTCAATAGTACTGAAAAATATGAGTCAGTAGACTTTGACAATTCATACTTCATCAGAAGATGAATTGCTTGGTTTTGCATATTGATTGTGGGGAGACCAAATAAATAACCAAAACAAGTTTTTTGGAAAAGCTTTAAAGCATTTGGAGAGAGTAAAGCTTTTATCTAGCTAGGTATGCTCGGATCACACAAACTGTGAAATCTAAGCAAACCATAATCAACATTTTGTGGTGCAAAGTAATGGCTATTCTGCAGAAAATAAAAAATTATTGAACATTAGTAGTTAGCATAATAAAAAAGCAGTAATCTACATATAACTACATGATAACTACAAAATATAACTAAAAGAAGAACATCATACCTACACCTATAACTACAAAACAATACAGGACATCTACACATGTAAACATTATCTCAAAACAATAAGGAAGAAAAGGGTAACCACAGCTCTATAGCTACAAAAATATAACAGTTAGTTCAAGTAACTCACAAAATATAGATTAATCTATGAGTAAAATGAGTAGGGGCAAAGCGACCGGGCCTGACGAGATTCCGGTGGAATTTTGGAAGTGTGTGGGGAAAACAGGTTTGGAGTGGTTGACTGGGTTGTTAAATGTTATTTTTAAGGCGAAGAGGATGCCAGATAAGTGGAGGTGGAGTACGGTGGTCCCACTGTATAAGAACAAAGGTGATATCAAGAGCTGTAGCAATTATAGGGGTATCAAATTACTAAGTCATACTATGAAAGTATGGGAAAGGGTAGTGGAAGCAAGGTTGAGGATGACGGTATCCGTCTCCGACAACCAATTTGGTTTCATGCCGGGTCATTCTACTACAGAGATATACACCTTGTTAGGGGGTTGGTTGGACAGTACAGAGATAAGAAGAAAGATCTGCACATAGTGTTTATTGACCTAGAAAAAGCGTATGACAAGGTTCATAGAGAAGTAAGCTTGAAGGCAAAAGGCGTGTCGGTTACCTTCATTAGAGTGATTAAGGACATGTATGATGGGGCAAAGACTCGGGTTAGGACAGTGGGAGGCGACTCTGAGGATTTTTCGGTTGTTATGGGGTTACACCAAGGTTCTGCGCTCAGTCCGTTCCTATTCGCCCTGGTGATGGATGCGTTAACACACCATATTCAAGGGGATGTGCCATGGTACATGATATTCGCGGATGACATAGTTCTAATTGATGAGACGCGAACCGGTGTTAACGAGAAGCTGGAGGTTTGGAGACAAGCTCTTGAATCTAAGGGTTTCAAGCTTAGCAGGACAAAGACGGAATACCTGGAGTGTAAGTTCAGCGCTGAGCAGAGGGAAGTGGGCGTGGATGTGAGGCTTGAATCGCAGGTCATCCAAAGTAGAGACAGCTTCAAGTACCTTGGGTCGGTTATCCAGGGGGGAGGGGAGATCGACGAGGATGTTACGCACCGTATCGGGGTAGGATGGATGAAGTGGAGGTTAGCATCTGGAGTATTGTGTGACAAAAGAGTGCCACTGACACTCAAAGGTAAGTTCTATAAAGTGGTGGTTAGGCCGGCCATGATGTATGTGGCTGAGTGTTGGCCGGTTAAGAAATCACATATCTAGAAGATGAAGGTAGCAGAAATGAGGATGTTGAGGTGGATGTACGGGCATAGTAGGATGGATAAGATTAGGAATGATGATATTCGAGAGAAGGTGTGCGTGACTCCCATTGATGACAAGATGCGGGAAGCAAGCCTCAGGTGGTTCGGGCACGTTCAGAGGAGAAGCCCAGATGCTCCGGTAAGGAGGTGTGAACGACTGGTTGTGGAGGGCTCGAGAAGAGGTAGAGGGCGGCCTAAGAAGTATTGGGGGGAGGTGATTAGGCAGGATATGACGATGCTTCAGATTTCCGAGGACATGGCACTTGATAGGAATATGTGGAGGTAGTATTAAGGTTGTAGGCTAGGAGGTAGCTGAGTATTGTCTTATGTCATAACTTTGGGGGACTAGTTTGGTAAGGATACTATTTTGCTTTTGCTTGGTATCATTCCTCTTGATTTCATGTTGTTCTTATTTTTCATATATATATATATATATATATGTATTTCTTTCGTATTGTTTCTGTGGTGTTACTAATAATGTTTTCTTTTGTCCTTTTGTCTTATTGAGCCGAGTGTCTTTCGGAAACAGTCTCTCTACTCCTTTGGGGTAGGGGTAAGGTCTGCGTACACACTACCCTCCCCAGACCCCACTAGTAGGATTACACTGGGTTGTTGTTGTTGTTTTTGTTGTTTGTATAGCTAAACAATAAAAATACATGTAAAAAGAACTATAATTATATAAATCAAAACTAATATTAAAGAAAAGACAACAATAACAACAACAACAAACCCAGTTTGACCCCAATATATGGGATCTAGGGAGGATAGTCTGTACGTAGACCTTACCCCTACCTAATGCACAGAGAAGCTGTTTCCAATAAAGAAAAGACAACAATAAAAGCTTTATTAATAAAAGTATAAAACGAAAGGAAAGAGACAATCGAGAGGGTTTATACAATGTAGAGAGCTTTTGTTGAATAAATTTTTATAGAGCTTGACTTTTAAATCATAGAATTTGTTTAAGAAATAATTCTCAATTAAGAAATTACTTTTAGGATCAGTTGTTTATTCTTGCATAAATTTTAAGTTATAAGAGTTATTTATCAAAAAAATTAGATTGAAATAAAAGTCAAATAAACCACATATAGTTTTGTTTGCCAAATAGTTTTAGCGAACAAAATGGGCAGATAAAAATATTTAGACATGGATCTGAATTCATGAACATCTCAATTTGAACACCCTAGACCGCTAGGCTACCTCGCCCTACTGTATTAAGGATGTTCAAAATATAATATGTAATCATATGAAGTAGTATTTGGTCTATATACGCACTATAATTTTGCGGCAAAGGATGTTGGATTGGGATCCGAATTTGCTCCAGTAACACATCCTCCATTATCTTTCAATAAGGATCTCTTGTTTGTTTGGTATAAGAAATTTATCATCTTTCAATATTGTAGAGAGTTTGATAATATTCAAGAAAAGAAAATGTGTTCCGCCATATGTTGTGGGATTCCTTGTGTTTATGCTTCAAGTAAGCTAACAATTTAGCAATAAGGTACCACAAATACAACAGCCGGTCAGTTCCTTAGCCCAGCAGCGTAAGCTCCATCAGTTCCTTCTTCAGAAATGGGAGGGGCAGGAATAGCGGCAAAAACAGCTGCATGCTCTCGATTCTGCTCCAGCTGGTGACCGGTTGGAAAGATACCAACAATAACCTGATGCACTCAAGATGTTACAGATTAGTTTTGCAAGCTCACACAAAATGAGGAAACGATAAAAAATTTAAAAGGACAAAAAAAATATTCAAAGTAGCAGTTAAATGTGGGTGCTATTTCAAGAACTTCCCCACTAACATGGATACACACAAAAAAAGAGAGATCAATTATGTTTTTTGTGTTGCAATGCCAGCCAACGTCGTAAATTCCAAAGATCATAAATAGTCCCAAAACTGCTTGCAAGTTGTTGGGAAAAGAATAGCAATGAGCTAAAAAAGCTGGGTAGTTCCATTCTAACCTGAACGAGGCTAGCGGCTACCAACAAGCCTGCAAGTGCTCCTCCTATAACCTGACCATCAGGGTCTGAAAGAGAGACACTCAGTCCACCAGATCTGCTTTTTGTTACTCCATCATCACTTGGCCTAAATGATCCCTCCAGAGAGAGAATATTAAAACGACCCTGCAGCAAAATCATAATTTGGATAAGAAGAAATGCTAATGATGAACATTCCATCATACTTCTTGCTTTCATTCCCAGTGGGAAATAAGTATTTCGATTCATATAGTAGAAAAGAAAATGGCATTTCTTCCCTCAAGAGTTGAAGGTCTGTGCTTTAAATCTACAAGTAAAATGTAACTATTATTTTAAAAAAAATATTCCGACGGCAAAAATAGAAGATAGACAGAACAGGGTGCCTTGGCAAAACAACAAACAACATATTTATTTTTTCATTTGTTTTATTCATTTGGTATGTATGTGGTGCAGTAGCCCCGTAAACTGATGAAGGTACACATCAGCATCCAAGGGGTGTTATAAAAATGTATATGCTGCAGCAAAGAAATCAAGCGCATCCATACATGCAAATCAGTATAGTAGAAGTAAACGGCTCACACCTCATAGGTCAAAGTTCCACCAGAAGAACTAGTCTGATGAAGTGTAACACTTGAAATTGCACCAATTGCAGACAGCACACAAATAGCTCTAGGTTCTTGTTGAGCAAATGAAATTATCTTCATGCTGACATCCTAATACACCAAAGAAATCAAAAGAAATTGGATTTTAAATATTCTAACAGAGGTACAAACAGCCAAGGAAATTTCAGCAAAATAAATGTCTAGAAGCAAGGCTCCTCAGCTATAACAATTGTTTGCCAACAGTAAGATGGCACTTGTCCTGCACTTGGCGTGTTTCATCAAATGCTTACTTTAACCTGGCGGACAAGCTGCACGGGAAATTTTAATGCATCCCTCAATTGACTGCATAACCAAGCCCCAAAATCAAATTGGAAAGAAAAAACTCTCCAATATTTGGACAGACAATTACAACCTCCATCTCATCTTGTTTGACCTACTTTTTACTTTGTATATCCCAAAAATATTACTTTCTAAAAACGGTGAGGCCCGTCATTTCTCTGTGACAACTTTAAACATTTCATGTCTTGAACATATTTTAACATATATCTACCAGAACACAGCACCAGTGCATGTGCACAAGTAGGTTGCGATAAACAAGTACATCATTTCTAGATAATTATGACTATAGACATCAATAAATGTGAGGAGTAGGGAGATAAATGTTCTAAGGTTAATAATTAATATAAGCTTTTGGCTCTGCCAGATCAAGTGTTTCAGTTTTCCCAGGTATGATGAGCATTGAATAATATCAAATTGTTTATTCCACACATATTCGAGATTCCAACATTGTCTTTCGTATATTCAGACGTTCAATACTGCATTCTTGAAAACCACATAAGAAATTTGATTTCAGGTACAATCTTAAAAGAAAAAAAAGGTTGTTTCGATACAACCACTGTGGCACCAGGAGTTGCCTATTTTCCAAAAGTTTAAGAGATATTGGTTTCAACACATGCTAAATAAAATAATTAATGATATGTGGTTTAGCACTCAGAAATTTCTTTATTAAAAACAGAAATAACCAGTAAGCACCAGCCACTTGTTACAGACCTAAGAAAGATGTCTACATCCGGACATTGAGATATCTACTTGTCGAAAATCAAACCATTCATATTTATATCATAGGCATTTTAAATGTAAATATGTATAATTGAGAAAGCAGAAAACTTATTGAGGAAAGCAGGTGAATTGAGCCATATTAATTACTTATCCAGTTACAGTTCAAGGATATTTTATCAATTGTATCGGATAGGAAGTAATAATCACAACAAGGAGTAAATGTTAAAACTACCTCTCCCTAACTCATTGACCTCTTTGACTTTCCTTTCCCAAAAAATCTACCTTTTGACAATTTTCTATCAGAAATCTAGGGCTGCTCAGCCTATGATGGCTTAAAAACCATGGTGATAATGTGCTTCATTTCATTCAGCTGTAGAAAGCAGCATGAAACCAGCAAGAGGCTAAGTGCGCATGAATTGCAAGCAAAGCAAAAGGCAACACATTTGTCTGAATGCAACACATGCCCTAACAAAAAAGGCTAGTTCTTGATATACCAATAAATTCTCACCTTTGAAGAGATAACATAGAACTCCTGCTTCAGTGGGAATAGATGTTCAAACAACAACAACAACCCAGTATAATCCCACAAAGGGCCGCCCCGGTGCATTAAGCTCTAGCACGGTACAGGATCAGTCTCTTGTTCTCAGTGCAACATGTGAAATGACTCAGTCAAGAGATCGATCTTAGGATACCGGCAAAGGAAGAAGGTGGATACTACTTTGATTCCGATTCGGGCGGAGGACCGCTATGTGCGGGGTCCAAGGAGGGCTGGACCACACGGGTCTATTGTATGCAGCCTTACCCTGCATTTATGCAAGAGCCTGTATCCACGGCTCGAACGCATGACCTCCTGGTCACATGGCAACAACTTTACTAGTTACGCCAAGGCTCCCCTCAATAGATATTCATACCAGAAACTCTTTTAGATATGGAATAAAGTTATGAATGTATGTATCATTCTCTACGACATAAGCATCAGCCATATTATTATTATTTTTGTTGTAAGAATTAGCATCAGCAATATAATTAATCCTAGCACCCAAGGGTCTACGCAGCACACCTACTTTGATTCACATCATACAAATGAAGCTCTCAGTTTGTTAGGTGAGAAAAGAAAAGGAGATGGAGAACAAAGAAGGAAGCCATTTTAAGCTTATAAAAGGATCTTTTTTTTTTTGACAGGTAGCTGCATTTAAACACAACAAAGGTTCAGGAAATGTTATTTCCTTCAGACCAATTTCACCAAGCAGAATACCATACTTTATTCAAGTGCTTTAACCTGTTTCTCCTGAAAAAGATCGAAAATTATATACCTCAAGTCCAAGTCAAATTCAGGAGTAATTTCTTACTGTTCACCAATATATTTTCTCTATTGTCTTCACTAGAAGGGCGTCATGCGTTCACTACTGGTCTGATGCCTTTGGCTGACTGACATATATAGCCAATATCCAATTTATATCCATATGGAAATTCTTTTTTGCTTAATATTCACCTGTTATAGTTTATTCCTTTTTGACTAGTCAAATTAGCTCCATTAGAGAAATTTGAACTTGACATACAGAATCATATATTTGATCAACGTGTCTGACCCATTATTCCTCTTCGTCCTTTATCTGTGATTTCCTGAGAAACGCATTGCACATATCACCAGCTAAGAGCTAGATTGAACCCACTTCCCAGATAGTATACCTAGAAGGGGATATGATCTTTCAAAAATTGAGCATTAAGGAACTATCATTAGTTAGTTTAACTGTACCTTCTATTTCATTTACACCTATGTTGCTCAGCGGGTGCAGCTATCCGATATGGGTGCGGATCTAGAAGTCGGAAACTTCATCCCATAAATTTAGGATTAGGGTTACGGATTCGAGTGTGGATATGGATGATGCGATAGGGCCAATAAATGTATAGTACGACATATAAAGTATATATTCCGATTGATTAAAGTTATAGATCTAAAATTATTTAATTCTTTATAAACATCACACACCAAACCCAATCAATCTATACTTCCGGGTCATAGATGTAGACAAAGTACCCAAGGTAAATTGACCAAATCCCGGTATGGATCCCACATCCACACCCAACTCATGTCGACACAGATGCGGCAAGAATTTTGAAGAGTCCAAGCAACATAAATTTACACCACTATTTGGCTGGATTAGGAAAGTCAAAAGAAAACTTCGAGAAGCATTCCATAACATCAGATTAACCTCTTCTTGTATCCCTACCACAAAAATTTAATAATTATAGTCATAAATGAAAGAAATAGATAAGATCAACCTCTCTATAACTCTAACTTTAACGCACACCATCCTTTCATTCTTCCGGTCATAAATCAGGCATAACGGAGTATGAACATTTGAAATTCATTAATATTGGAGTATGAACATCGGAAATTCATTAATACATAAGGCTTACCTCGCCAGCATTAACAATGATCACATGCGCAGAAAGATTTGCACCGACAAAGTATTCCATCCTCTCACCTGAGGAAATAGAAGATTTAGCAATAGCCAAACAAAGTTAAACCTTCAAGACACAGAAAATTAAACTTTTTAGATATAATATCAGCTTCGAACAAGTAAAATTGATAGGCAAGATAATTAGATTATATTTTTTTTATAAGGTAAGGTAATAATTAGATAGTATTTTTTTTATAAGGTAATAATAAGATAGTATTATTTTGACCGCAGAACACATAGAGACCAAATTTAACCAATTTCCACGGGAAATTGGAGAAAATCATAAGCAGTAAAGTTTCGTATTTGTATTAAGAAATCCGTTGATATTATAATAACATTTAGATGGGAACCCAATTCAAAAATGTGTTGCTGGTCCTGTGGTAAGATTTGGAGCCCAAGTTCGTCTCATTCTTGTTGCCCACTTATGTGAGTTCGAATCTCCTTAAGGACAATCTACACTTCCCTTTGTTTTTCGTTTTTTCCACAAAACTTTACAAAACACTCCACAGTCCTACATCTACACTTTATTCTTTTTTTTTTTTTTTTGTGTGTGTGTGTGTTCTTAATTTTGATAAACGAAACATAACAAATGACTAAAAGCCAAACTATAAAAAGAACCAAATATCGGTACTTATGTTGTATTTAAGTGGTTTGTTACTCTTTTCAATATATATATGTTGAATGTCGGTACTCTTTCCTTAGTCCGGTTATTATAATATATTAACTTGAGGTGGTTGTAGGAACCCATAAACTTCAGATTTTGGATCCAACTCTGTACTAATAGAGTCACTTAGGCCTTTCATCTCTAGCATTGTTATATATGACAACAGTATTAAATCTATTGATACAGTTTCAATAAGAGAGTTACATCTACTGATAAAATATCTATGCGTAGATTTGTATTCTAGTTTCAGAATTTGATATAAAGCATAATCAACTGAGTTTTGTTACTCGCTTGCATTTATTCATGAGGACATATCTAAAAATTTTGCATAATGATGATAACCTTTTTATCACTATGAGAGAGTAAACTATCTTAACACATTGCCGCTAGAAATAAACTTTAATCTTGTCGAAATCGAAAAGAACAAACGATCAGTGAGACGGTAAAAGAATATTACTCCATCTGTTTACTTGGCCAAGAGTGCTGAGTTTTATAGCATCATTAGCTGGTATAATTACTTCTATAATTATAACTGAATAAACTGATTCCAAGTTCAGTATTTCGTCTGTCATGCAAAAATATCAATATACTATATGTATACGTCTCATGGGTCAGAACAATATAAATTCCATCACTTTCCTGCCTTTTTAAAAATTATCAGCTTCTTCACTGTATGCACTTGGTTATTTGTTCTTATCCCATCTCTATATATCTCACAATTATTGTCTGAAGATAGACATGCGTGTTGATTTCAGTTTAGAAGACAGAACACCAAGTGGTCCAACTCTATTTGCTCAATGCATGAAGCTGCTTCTCTTCCCCCACCCCCTCCCACCAAGAAAACTAGTACCTTTAGATGCAGTGAAAATATTCTCCCCTTTCACTATCTTCTTCAACATCATAAATGCCATCAAAGATCCTTCCTGATAATGTGGACCCAGTCTAACTCTAAGTTAGTAAATACTTACAACAACGCAATCCAATAAGCAAAACAGAAACAAACAGAAATAGAGCAAACATATCCACACCACTAGATCCATCCCCATACTGTGAAACATTATTAATCAATAATCACAAACAAATATTCAACAGCGCGATCCAACGTTTAGAAAATTCTAATCCGATTAGCCGAGCAGCAATATCAAAATTGCATTCAAATTCTACAAAATAAAACAACTACGCCTCAGTCCCCAACATGTCGGGGAAAAAATGTTACCTGGAGTTTCGACCTCAAACTTGTTCTTCTTCTTAAGATGATCAACGGGGCAACTTCCACTGTTTCTCCAAGGTGAAAAATTTCCAGTAAGAGGAATTGAAGCTGATATTGGCATTGCTGACAATGCGACCGCGGCTACTTGAGCATCTGGTCCATACTTCCTAGGTCTTCCCTCTTCCTCTTCCCTCTCCCTCTTCTTCTTCTTCTTCTTCTTCTTCTTCTTCTGCTACAATTGTTCCACTAAACTCATTATTAGTAATACTTTCAATCCTTGGGGCCACTCTGTAGCTTTCAGAATTACTAAGTCCGTCTTTCTCCTTCATTCATATACTCCACACTGCTTAGTAAATAATCATAAACCCCTGAAAACTCCAAAATAACTTAAGCCCCCCAAAACAACTAAAGATCAAAAACGAAAAACAATAAATCAAAGCCTCAGAATTACAAGAGAATAAAAATACAATCTTTTTTCCAAATGCTATAAGTAATATATAACAAGTAATGTACCAAGAATCTGTAAATGCTAGAAATCAGTTTCGTCTACAAAAAGATCATCTGACTACGTCAAATTTTTGCAGTGGAAATCTAATGACTACTGATATTCTGAACTGTGGCATAAACTCTGCTACTGCAGAGGAAAGTACAGAGAGCTTAAAAGAAGAAACTATTTTTATGAAAATAGAAAGAAAATATGTAAAATCTTTGTGTTTTCACAATTTCTTTGAGGTGAAATTAGGGTTTTTGCAAGGAAAAAGGTAAAGGACAAAAAATAAAAGTTGAAAAATAATTTGTTTTTTTTTTTGGCAAATACATTTTTGTTCATAAATTTTAGGGAGAAATTCAAAAATAGCCGGATTTACAATTCGTTCAAAAATAGCTCAGTTTCAAAAGTAATCGAAATTTAGCCACTTTTCATGTAAAGATAAATCTGAGCGAAAACACGGTTCAAAACTTGAAAAATACGCCAGTATATTATACTAGAGTTCCAGCAAGTATAATTGTCCAGTATAATATGCTGGAGTTTGGAACACCGGTGCTCCAGTCTCCAGTATATTATACTGGAGTCAGCAAAGTATACCGGTCCAACATAATATGCTGGAGTTCATACACAGGTGCACCGAACTCCAGTATATTATGCTGGACCAGTCTCTGTTGCAGCAAAATAGTGGCTATTTTTCATTGACTTCGTAAACGCTGGCTATTTTTGAATGACCAGTCTGAAAACTGGCTATACCGTGCTATTTTTACTAAATTTTATCCATATTTCTCAAATTCCCAAAACCCAAATTTTTGGCCCAAAATATTACTATTACAGTTTTTTAAAAGGGATTTTTACATACCTATGCACTGTTGGAAACTTTATTACCATCCTTACTCAAGTTTTACTATAATTACATATTATATACCCAATTACCGTTTATGTACATTTTAAGGGAATTAATGATAATAATTAGTGTATTAAAATCACTCTAACGTATCTTTCACTCTCCCACGTTTCTCTCTCCACATCCCACCCCCTCCCCACGTATCTTGCACTCACCCACGATTTTCTCTTCACAAAATTCAGAATCCCTCCATTAACGCCTATTTCCTCTCTTCTTCCATAAGCATTCTAAATTTTACCCTCTTCTCCAAAAATCACCTCCATTAAAATTTGTGCTTAGCTTGATTTTCAATGAAGACGAAAATAACTTCAAAGAACAGCCCTAGAAAAGGCAAAGGAGCCGATATTCCTACATTTGATTTGGGTGTTTTAGAGAATTCACCCAAAAAAATATTATTTGTTTGAATTGGGTATTGTTGCAAAGAATTGAGAATTTTCTATACGTCTCTCTCTATCTCTCAATCCCTAATTTCAGTAATGTAAAGCAAAGGAAAAGAGAGCAGCAATTCCACCATTGACAACCATTAAAAAGCTTTGAATTCGAATTTGGATTTTTTTAAAATTATTATTTGTTTGGATTGGGTGTTGTTGCAAACAATTGGGAATATAGTTTGGAGTTTATATCTCAATTTTGAGGGTGTTTTGGTGAAGATTAGACTTGATTTGGCTGAATTTTAGATTGAAACTCGAAGAAGAAGAAGAAGAAGAAGAAGAAGAAGAAGAAGAAGACGACATGATATACATTATATTTACAAAATTATAGAAAAATTGTAGAAAAATTGTATCTGTTTTTATATAATTTTTTTATTTAATTATTATATGAAAATTGAATAATATTGTATAAAAATTTAAGTTGTATGACATTATTGTTGTATATAACTGAGTAGAAATAATGTATGAAAATTGTAGATAAGTTGAAGATAAGTTGTATAATATATAAATAATTAGTTGTATGAAATTTATTTTTACTATGTATAAATCAGATACACAATATACAAAAGACATATTGTATAAATTTTGTATTTAAGTTGTACATTATTGTAGTTGCATTTAACTGGGTGAAAATAATGTGTGAAAGTTGTAGATAAGTTGTATAATATATAATTAGTTGTATGATATTTGTTTTTACTATGTATAAATCAGATACAAAATATACAAAAGACGTATTGTATAAAATTTATATAAAAATTGTATTTAAGTGATATGATAGTGTAGTTGTATATAACTGGGTAGAAATAATGTATGAAAATTATTTTGTAGAAATTGGAAAGGGGGAGCACCCCTTGTTTTGTAGTGTAGATTCTGCGGACAATTTGTAACTGTATAAATCTGAGCTGGTCAGGTTCTAACGAAAATAAACAATATTCCATGTAAATTTTTGTACGCTCACGTTAACTTGTGCTTAATATTTTTGCAGGTTCCCATATTGATAATTCAAAAATTTAAAAAAAGGAAGCTAAAAAGCGAAAGGCCAAAGCTGATAAAGCTCCACAAAGCATCAAATCTAAGGAGCTTTTTGAACAAACTTAAACTTAAGGCTAGGAAATATAGTTGGTCAAAATAAGGTGCATTGAAGAACATAATTTTTGTCATGAAATAAAAGCAATTTAGTAAAACACGAACAAGAAATAAAAGCAATTTAGTAAAACATGAACAAGAAATAGAGATAGAGAGAAGGAAGAGATTTTCTTCTTCAATTGTGTGTATTTTCCTATCTATTACAAGGTCTTTATATAGGCATGAAAAGTGAAGAAAATATGTCATGAAATATGTCATTGAACATAGAAAATATGTCATTGAATATGTCATTAGCCATTTGAGAGAAAGATCATGGAGGAAGAGTAAACATCCACCATATTTTGATTTTTATCATAACACTCCTCCTTGAATGTCCATAAATAATGTGTCTCGTTAAAACCTTATTAGGAAAAAACCCTATGGGGAAAAAAATCCTAATGTAGGAAAAAGAGTACACATATTTAGAAATATCTCTTTTGGTTGCCTCGTTAAAAACCTTGGAAGGAAAACCCAATGAGACAAAACCTTGTAAGGGAAAAAGAGTACAACGCGTATTAACTCCCCCTGATGAGATCATCAGTTCACATCGTTGAGCCTTCGTATCCCAATCTTGTACACTAGTTTCTTGAAGGTTGATGCCGGTAGATATTTGGTGAACAAATCAGCCATATTATCACTTGAACGGATCCGTTGCACATTAATATCACCATTCTTTTGAAGATCATGTGTGAACAATAATTTAGGTGAAATGTGCTTTGTCCTAACTCCTTTATGAATCCTCCCTTTAATTGGGCTATGCATGTTGTATTTTCTTCATACAAAACTGTGGGTAGTTTATCACACTTCAAACCACATTTGTCTCGAATAAGATGTATAGTAGACCTCAACCATACACATTCTCGACTTGCTTCATGAATAGCAATTATCTCAGCATGATTAGAAGAAGTAGCCACGATTGATTGCTTAGTCGATCACCAAGATATGATAGNGTCGATCGCCAAGATATGACAGTGCCACACATGTAAACACATAACATGTTTGAGATCAAGCCTTGTGTGTGTCAGATAAATACTCCACATCGACATAACCAACAAGATCGGTATTGCAATCATTGCCATAAAATAAGCCCACATCGGTAATCCCCCTTAGATAACGTAATATGTGCTTGATTTTATTCCAATTTCTCCTTGAGCAGAGCTATATCTTGTTAAGACATTAATTGAAAAAGTTATGGCATGCCTTGTAGTGTTAGCAAGATATATTAGCGCACCAATTGCATTAAG